GCCGACCCTCCCCCCCCCCCCCTGGCGTGGATTAGAGGGCAAACAGTGCCATTTGGTACGGTTTAGAAGTATGAATCAGCTAGTCAAAATTCTGATTTCAAGAGTGGACCAGAAACCCCCCTCCTTTAAATCCGCCACTGAACATTTGATATCATATCCGATACTATCATGAAAATTACACCCTTCGTCTCCGCGCTTAGCACTCAGCACATACAGGATGAAGCTGAAGTTAAGGTTTGTCATAGTAGTGCATGTTATTGTAAATGATTTATACTCCGAGTGCCACATGTACAACAGCTTACTTTTTATTTTCCCCAATGAGATAAGAAGGATTCAGGACTGAAAAGATCCATAAAGACCAGGCATTAATGTTAAATACAAATTAGGACTTCTCCGGTTTAAATTATACAACTCCAGTAATATGAGCTTTTTAAAGCTTATTAAAATACGTATATTCTTCTTCTCATCATTATTATTATAACCTATAAACGTGTTTAAAAATGTGGTAGAAATATCTAGGTGTAAATTGCATAAAGAAATCCTGATCATTTATTAAAAAAGGGAACGTAATCTGTTTATATGTTAGACTGGTTGTTTACTTTTTAACTCTGTTGATTTCCTCTTTTAGAAATCTTTGCAATTTAGACTTTGAAATAATGGCATCCATTATGCTGATAAGTCTGTTCCTACTGGTTGCTGTTCAAGTTGTTGATTCTTTAAGTATTATGAAGGTAGGTCCAGAAAATCGTTTCTTTTATCGTTCGTTTATTGAAACAAGTTAAGACAGTATTGATAGAGAAGCAGCATGGTTCTTAAAGTGTAGGGAGTTGTGGTGGGATTTTCTGCTTTTTCAAAATGTGATTCACTTCTTGAATAAGAGAAGTTTTATTCTTGGATGGTTACTTAACGTGTATTTAAACCAAACAAGAACATTTTCTTAAACAAATGTTTATTCGGCAAAATCACTTACTTTTTCAGAAAAGTAATACACCTGATCAAAACAATTACAGCATCTCATATGTTCATTTTAAACCGAATCCAAAGCATTTTTCAAATATTTCTTGATACATGCAAGAAAATGTCATATCTAAAACAAATTATACACCCACAAAGATATGATATATAAATAATAGCCAGGGTCTTTTTGAAAACAAATTTTTATCCTTTTAAAAGAGCGTTTCAACGTTCAGAGAAATTACTTCCTAATGTGCAGGACGGAGAAGGCTGAGTCATGAAAGATTATTTCTTTATATTTTAGGACACAAAAGGAAAGTTTAGTTCCTACCGTATCACCAAGTTAAAGGACTTTTTTGATGTTTTCGACGTTGATGAAGATGGTGTTCTTACAGAACATGAATATGTGGTTTTAACAACAGAACGAGCGCAAAATGTTCTGCTGTCTTGGAGAGCCATGGCAGTGAATGGTATATTTTCCAATGCCTTTCGGGTCTGGTGGTCAAACAAATACTCCAATTATAAAACAGCCTTTACATTTAAAGATATGATTCGGGTTCACGAGATAGACTTGCCTATTTCAACGGAGGAGCTCGCCGAAGGCTCATGGGATTTGTTTGGCACGTTTGATATTGACTGCGATGGCAAGTTGGCGATAGATGAGTATTCCAAATTCCTGTTTGTTTTTCGCAACACAGCTGAGATTCAACCAATTTTTGATGCAATTGATCAGAACGCAAATGGCGTCCTTGATGCAGAAGAATTTGTAAGCGCATACGACCTCCATTGGTATCGACAAGAGTTCAGCACCACTGATGTAATTATCGGCAAGCGGTACTGATGCAGTTAGGAATGGCCAAGATATAGGTCTACCATTTCCTTTGGGCTTTTATGATACTTGGAATAAAACGCCAAAGCCTCCTCTTTGATTCCTTTATCTTTCTACATTTTTAACCATTTAGACGGATATTTTGATTTTAATAATACATTGATACTATTGATCAGAACGAATATGACTATTTACATGTGCATGCGAGCTGTATTGGTATCTACAGCAGTTCGGCTTCTGATTCTATTTTAGCCAACGGTTACTAATGAAGTTGGTAATGACAAAGAGGTTATCTGTCCATTAAGTTTTAGGTTTATGATAGCTTCTTCGTTCAATAGCTTCTTTGATGTTGCTTTTTCGCAGCTAGGTCCACTTTCCGTGCTTGAGCATCACATTGGTAAGGACAACATTTTACCCCGGCATACTACGATGATTCCGTACATAAACGGATTTGACATGCAAACCACTCCGTGTTTGTTTTCTTTATTTTTCAATTTTACCCGAAACACTGACATTGTAAAGATACAGATGTACTCACTGACATAAAGAAAGCAGAAGTTAAAATTGCTTGTGATTGGTTTCACACAAAAAAGGGTAAGTGGATTTTTAAATCTAAAATTTAATACAAATGAATATTTTATATGAATATTAAATGAATAAATAGATTACGCAAAAGATGCTGGAAGGAAAAATGTAAACTGATTGATTAGTACAGAGAGAATTGACTAAAAGAGACCCATATATTTGGAAGAAAAGAATGGAACGGCAAATGAACGATCTCTAACTCGCCATCACTATGACAGTACATGATATTGAGACAAAACAGTTATTACCACAACCTGATTGTAAACCAAGTACAGATATTTATGGTACGATTATAAACTGTCTGGGAAGTTATTATCTTGAGGTAAGCAAACCCCCTTGACACTGGAAGGCGTCCTTTCAGCGTTCCGTAGAACGGTCCCGTTTGAGAGTAAGAAATTACTCTTCGTGCCGACAACTGACCGATCACCGAGCATTCATTCTGCAGCCAAAGCGATGCTTGTGCGTCCTTTCTACGACCCCAGCGATGCCAGTTTCATGGTCGCACAAAGGACGCAAAATGGACGTACGCCGTCCAATGTAAAGGAGCTTGAACACCACAGCGATGACGTGCTTGTCAGCAGTATCGTGTTCTTTTCTTACTCTCTACCAGGGCCACAGATTGATTTTTCACAAGATATTCACAGCCCTCTACCAACGTGGCAGATTAAATAGGGAAAAACGTGTGACTTTTGGCCAGATGGAAGCAATTAAATCTGCACGTGCTCAGATGGCATTGTACCCCCTCTGCAGGAGCTGAGTTTTACGCCGATGTGATAACTGCTCGTTATGCAACCTGTCAAAGACTCTGCTGTCTGCTGAAACTAGTCACGTGGTTGGAAGGGGTACCCCAAAATTGTGCACAAACCGTATCCCACAATTCCGTTCTGCAGTTTAGTCATATTTCATTTGATATCTACACTTTCAGATGACAAGCACTGATGACAAGTCTTAACCGAAATCAAGAGAAAAAATGCATTGAATATGGTGCATTTCACAGCTTTGGTCAGCGCTCATCACTGCAAGTCCACATACCGTGAAAGATAAAGTAATTCATGAAAATACATTTGCACATTATTCATCTGCACATTCATCTGCACATTTATCATCTATCAGTTGCTCTGAAATTGCTGAAGACTTAGCAATGTGAATATAAGCCCGATAATAGTTTTTTAAAATCATTTTTGCAACCTTCTAAACGTGAACGCTTACATTTGCCGAGTGCCGAGATTGCTTGACGGAAAAGCAACACCTCCCGATTGAAGTCCGACCCTTGCAACATAACAGTGTTTTGTAGCTTTAACAGGAAGTTGTTATATAACTGATAGTCAGCTTTGCTCCATAGCCTATGTTTCTTCACAGTAATTTCGTCTTTCACATTTTTGTATTCATATTCCCGTTTGTTAGTAACAACATAAAAGATGTCGTCCATTCCCCAGCACAGCAAGCGGCGTAGTAGCACCAAACTTTCATCAAACATTTCCAAGACGATTACAAAATCGAACTTCTTGTCCAAGAAATCAATGTACTCGGCAATGAATCTGTCGTTGTTCCTGAGATCATTTCTATCGTCTGGGAACCCAAACTCATACATCATGGCGTTTCTCAAGAAGCCTACATGGGTTGTGACATAGTCGTCGGTCCAATACTTGTATGGATTTTCCATAAATTCCAAGACCGGGTTCGTGGATTTTTTTAATTTGAATTTACTTGAAATACGATAATAATTGAACGCACTTTGAAACTGAGAAAATGGTTCGCGAACTATACCGATATAAAATGTATCATTTGGCATCATGGTTTCTATTACTTTTGAGTCAAAAAACATGTGATTGAAAATTATATCATAGGTTACATTCGGGTTATAGTTGGCGTCTTTTATGGTTATTTTCCTACGGTTCATATTGAACATAGATTTCCATGGGTAAAAAAATATGTTCTTCTTCGGAGAGAGACGTTTTAACTTATATTTAAGAGAAGCCTGTTCTAAAATTTTCTTCATTGTTCCTGAGCCGCCTTTGTGCACTTTTAGAAACATAATATGTCGGGTTGGCTGGCATTGGTCCTTTGGTAGGCATTTTATGGGAGGTACGTTGTAGGCAGACTGCAACAGTGAATCTTGAATGTTCCTATTTATCCCTGAAAGCAAAGAATAATAATAATAATAATAATAATAATAATAATTAAAATAAATAAATAAATAAATAAAATAAACAAATAGATAGTTGAAAAAATAAAAAAATGTATATCACTTATATATCACAGTTTTATTTATGCTTCGACTATACACACGAACGGATCCAGGATTATTGGAGGGGGGGGGGAGAGGAGGAGAGTCGGCTTTGCATCCGCGGGGGGGGGGGGGGGGGGGGGGAAAGGCGCGTCTCCCCCCCCCCCCCCCCCCCCCCCCTATCAAAACCCTCCATCCACCAGTGGCAGATCCCGTTTAATCATGATTGGTTTTCAATATAAAATTTGCATAAAATTTTGCAGTTTTAATTGACTCACTCGTGAGTTTTCTACATAGCAGGCTGTAACACGTTAAAGAAGATATAGTTTGTGATATTTGGAAATGAAATAAAAACAAATATAGCTTTTGAATTCAATTTTTATTCAATTCAATAACAATATAATATTGTCAAATCTATAAACTCTGTCTCTGTTACATAATAGTGATCCTAGACTCGCTAGGCAATTTTTGAAAGCGTACTCTCAAATAA